ATCTTCTCCCATTCCATTGGTTGTCTTTTGGTTTTGTTGACTGTTTCTTTTGCTGTGCAAAAGCTTTTTATCTTGATGAAGTCCCAATAGCTCATTTTTGCCCTGTTCCCTTGCCTTTGGTGATGTTTCTAGGAAGAAGTTGCTGCAGCTGAGATCCTTCTGCATTTTAAATGAGACATTGTTTTATGCTAAAATATAAAAACTTCTACTGTAGACAGATTCATTAGAAAAGGAGAAAAATAATCATTTATTTCTTTACCGACCAACCATGCATTGAACATTTTGTTTTATACTCACGTTGGTAAAAATATACACACATATATAAATGAGTGTCATACTTGTTAGTATTACTACTTGTAGAAATCATGGTCAAAGGACTGGACAAATATTGCGCACAAAAAAAGAGAAATAGAAATGGACTCAGTATATGAAAAGATGATTATCCTCATGAAAGTAAATTTAGAGCATGATGAGATACTATTTTTAACCTGTCAGATTAGGAAAATCAGTGATGTTTGACAACACTTTCCTGACACTCACCTACATCATGGAAGAAAGTGTACAATGGTACTATCTCTAGCGGGGTAAGTTGGTAATACCTGTTAAAATGACCAGTAACCACAACTGAACTGATATAAAACAATATTATATTTCAGCATATTTTATAATAGTAAAAGCTTGGAAATAATCCACTGGTCTACCACAGGAAGCTGATCTTATAATGTATCTTATAAATATACAATCACCAATGAAATACTCTGCAGCTATCTAAGTGTTCTTTTATAATGACATAAAAACAGCACAAGGTTATATAAGTGAGAAGTGCAGAATAATGTATGTCATTACTACCTGTGTGTTAGAAGGAAGGAAATTAGATCTATATGTATTTACTTATTTTTTTATAACTAAATTCATATTTGCCTAAATAAAAACTGGAAGGATGGCCAAGAAACAAAAGTGTGACCTGTAAGTTTTGGGCAGGTAGAGACAGTTGTTGGAGCAAGATTTGGTGTTTCAATTTTTGGAGTGTTTTGATTTTGGAACCATGTGAATGTATAATCTAACAATTTTAGTAGGGTCCTGCCATGGATATTTCTTCAACAACACCTTCTTTTTTTTAAAAAAAGTTTTTATTTATTTATGTAATCTCTACACTCACTGTGGGGCACCACCTTACAACTTACACTTCATTCCTTCCACTGAGCCAGGCAGCTGCCACCTCAATATCACTTTCTGATTAATTTCCATTTCTTCAACAATCTACATTTTTGTGTAAATGCATACTAGTCCATCATACAACATCATTTATTTTATTTTTTTAATTTCTTCTTAGGTGTTGGGCTTAATTTGGGACTGTGGTGAATGGTGCTATGGCGTTGCATGTAAATCTTACTGCATACCTTGAGGGTGTGTGTGAGTGTGTGTGAGCAAGTGTGTTATCTATTATTTCTAGGTAGAGCTGCCAACAGCAAATGCTAATGCTGTTGAGGACTTGCATGTACCCAACAAAATTAAATCATCACATCTACACAACTCCAGGAGACAGAGCACACTGTATCTTCATTTTACAGATGATAAAATTATGGCACAGAGAGTTCATATAGCTATAGATTCAAGCCCTTGGGATTCAGAGTTCAAGCACTTAACCCCTCCATCACCCCACCTTTCTGGTGTTAGTGGGGCTCTCATGGGGTTCTTGTGAGGTCAGGAACATGGTGTCTGTGAAACACTGGGATAGGTCTGAACACACCTGCAAGTCATGCGACACGTTATACTGTCGTCACCAGAGCATCTTAAACCAAGTGAATCTGAATCTGAAATCTTTGGAAGAGAAATAACTTGGACACCTTCATTGGCTGTGGCTGCCCTGAGGCTGGTGCCCCAAAGAAGGCATCATAAGGACTATCTCAGGGAAAGAATTAGAAGTGTGGAATTGACCAATATTACAACTAGTGTTGAATTTGAGGGCTCAGTTGTCATGCTGTCCCTTACCTTGGACTCTCAGTTAGATTGTACCAAATGAAAGAACACAGAGGCAAAAGTAGACTTTTGATTGTTTTTATTGTGCTTATTATGATAAAGCAGTACAATACTCAGGTAGCAAAGATGGGAGTCCGGATGTCTAAAATAAATGGCTTCGAAGCAATTATCTGGTTAAAGAGCCCCAAGAGATGCAACTGGAAGTTGTGTGTTGGCTGTGCTCAGAGACATGAGTACCAGGTGGCTGAGGAGCTGGTGGACATTAAGGAGGGAGTGGTGCTGAAGCCCCTGTGGATGGTCCCCTGGCCCCACCCCTGAGTCATGGCAGAATTTGTTCTTGTTGTGGAGTGAAAGTTTCTTTTTACCCAGTGGTTTGTTAACCAGTTCTGCAATAATGACACAAGAGAAAAAAACACATTTGAACTGAAATATACCAAACTCAGAGAGAAAGTCCCACTAGATGCACAGCAGACAACTTTAGGGACAATAGACAATAGAGACAAGTGGACCCTTGGTGCCACCATGTGTTAGGAACTCTTCCCGTTGCCACAAAATGCTGGTCTCCCAAGCAGACAGATGGCGATGATGCTGGAGTAGATCAGGCTCTTGAGGAGAAGTAGGAGGTAGGTGTAGTAGGCAGAGGTGTTCATGAGCTGCAGCTTCAGGGTGTCTAAAACAAGTCATTTATTAGTTTCACCTTCTGTTCTTTTGAAGGGCTAGGACTTATTAATGGGAAAGGGGTGACATTACACATTTCTGATGATCTAGGTTGAAGTGATGCCCCCACACCAAAACAACCTGACAATAAACGTCTATACCACCAACCAGACAATAAACGTCTATAAACACTACCACCACCACCATCACCAAATAACTCAGAATCCAGCTTGCAGGCAAGTCCATCAACAACCTCTGGGAAATTCACTTAGAACATTCTAAAGTATTAAAAAGTAAGGCTGATGAAT